GTCCCGTCCCGTCCCGTCCCGTCCCGCCGGTCCCGTCCCGTCCCGTCCCGTCCCCCCCGCCGCCGCTCGCTGCTTTCCGCCCGCCGGCTGCGCACGGGGGGGCCGAGCCCGGCTCGGGGGGGCCCTTCCCGCCCCCCGGCTCCCGGCCGGCCTCGGGAGCCCCGCGGGAAGCGGCGGCCGCTCCGTGCCCGGGGCCGCCTGGACCGGCGTCTCGGCACCGGCACCGCGCCGGGACACGGGACCCGCGGGGGCGACGGTCCCGGAGCCGCCGGGATTGGGGTTTGGCGGCAGTTCGGTGCCGTGGATCCCGCGATGGGAATGCGCAGCGGGACCGGGAAGCGGGAATGACGGAGACGCGGGCGGACCGGGGCAGTGGAGGCCGTGCGGATCACGGGAAGGGTCCGGAGCGGAGGGCGCCGCCGCCGTCCCCCCGGCGCCCGCGGAGGATCCTGCCGGGACGGGAGGCGCCGCGCGGAGCATCCCGGCCGCCGGAGCCTCCCCCGGCGCCGTGTTTGCCCAGTAAACAGCTGGTTAATGAGCAGCGAGGCCGGCGAGGCCGCGGCGCCGCTCGCCCCGCTCCCCGGGAACGCGCTGCCGGAGCAGCCCCGGTTCCGGGCGCTCCCGCGGGGATCCTGCCTCGGAGCCCGGAGCGCCATCCCGGGACATTAAGCCCCAGGCAGCTCCTTGCTCTGATCCCTGTTGACTAAATCTCCCTGTTTTTCCCGCTGGATGTGGCTGTTGCGGGTCTGGGGGTGGCATCCATAGGGTGGCTCCGGAGGCCGCGGCCGCCCGGCTCCGTCCCGCGGCCTTGGGCCGGGCGCCGCCAAGGCCGCTCGGTGCCGGCGCGGCACCGGCCCGAGGCCTTGGCCCTGCCGGACGCCAGCGGGATCCCGGCTCCCGCTCCGCGCGCCCGGAATCGTCAGCGCGGCCCCGAGGGGAGTGCGGGGTCCTGGGCGCCGCCGCTCCCGTTCCCAGCCGGGGCGCGCGGGCGGCCATCCCGGGAGCCTCTTCCTGGCCTGGGGCACGGGATCCCGCGGGATGCGGCGCCCCGGCCGCCCCCGACGCGCCTCTCGCCCCGGCGCAGCTGCAGGCGCAGAAGCTGCGCCTGGCGCACGGCCGCGGGCCCTACTACGGCGGCTCCCTGCCCAACGTCAACCAGCTCGGCAGCGGCGCCGCCGACTTCCAGGTGAGCGCCGGGACGCGCCGGGCGCTCCCGGGAGCCGCCCCGGGCTCCGCGCGGCTTCACCCGGCGCCTCCGCAGGGCGCCCTGCACTCGCCGCTGGACTCGGCGCGCGGCACCCGCCACCACGGCCTGGTGGAGCGCGTGCAGCGGGACCCGCGCCGCATGATGTCCCCGCTGCGGCGCTACGTGCGCCACATATCCTTTCCTCGGTGCCGCGGCGCGCGGGCCCCTCCGCCGCGCCCCGTTAGCGCCGCCTTAACGCGCTCCCCACATCGAGAGCTCTCCCTACGGCCCCACGTACCTGTCGCCGCCGCCGGAGCCCGGCTGGAGGAGGTAAGAGCCCGGCCTGACCGGCACCGAAACTGGGAGCACGGCCCGTGCCGGGAGACTGGGCACTGGGAGCCTTGGAAGAGGCTCTATCCAGCTTTCCTTAGCAATCCATGAGGGAAAAAAGGGGGAAAGATGCACAGAGATGCGGAGAGCCGGACCCGGCTCCCTTGCGTGGTGCCAGGTGTTGCCCACCCCTCTCCTGGTGCCCTTGGTGCCGTGGAGGTTTTGGGGTACAAGGAGGGTTTGCTGCTGAGGTGACAGCTCCGGCCCCGTGCCCTGGGAAGAGGGATCTCGTGCAGGGTGAATGCCGGGGGGGCCGGATTCCCGAGGGGCCCTCGGCCCCGGGAGCAGGGCAGGGACCGGGCCGGGGGCTGCCGGGGCCTGAGGAGGAGCCGCCCGGGGTCGGGGCTCACACGGCAGCCCCGGAGCGGAGTCGAGCGCCGGCACCGCGGCCTCGTCCCCGGCCTCGTCCCCAGCCCATCCCGCCGTGTCCCCCATCCCCGGCCGGCGGTGGAGGGGCCAGCGCGGGCCGTGCGGCACCGGACACCGGTTCCTTGCCCCTCCCGCGCCCCACATGGCCCCTATGGGGCACTGCTGCCCGTGCCCTGTCCCTCGTGTCCACCCCATAACCCTGCTCTTCTCTGTCCCGAAGGACCATGCCATGGGGCAACTTCCCCATGGAGAAAGGCCACGCGTTCCGGCTGCCCTCGGCCCTCAACAGGTGACTGCAGTCTGATTCTCTTCCCTCGCTTCCCTCGCCTCCGAACCAAGAGGAGGGGACGGCCCCGTCCCGCAGCGTCACCGGGAGCCCGGGCCCCTCGCTGCCGGTGGCTCCGGGCCCGCGGTCCTGGCGGCTCCGCGCGGAGGGGCCGCGGTCCCCCTGGATGCCAGGGGGAGCTTCCCGCCCGGCTGAACAATATCCCCCTTGTACCGCCTGCTGCCGGCGCCTCCGCGCGCTGCTCCGCTCCGGAGCCGCTAATTGGGAGCACAAGGGCAGCCGGGGCCCCGGGGAACAAAAGGGTCCCGCGGCGCCCGGCCCCGCGCCAGGCCCCGGAGCCGCCGCCGCACACGGATCCCGGTCCGGAGCGGCGGGCGGCAGCGAGAGGGACCCCCCCGCGCCCTGCACGGGCTGCAGGTCGAGGGCTCGGAGCAGCCCCCGCTTCCCCAGCAGGAGCCCCCGGCTTCTGCCCTGTGCTCCCTGTTGGGAGCTGGAGCTTCCCGGGACGCTTCCCGCTCACGCTCTCCGTGTGGTCCCCGCAGGACGAACTCGGACTCGGCGCTGCACACGAGCGTCATGAACCCTGCGCCGCAGGACGCCTACCTGGGCCCCGCGGCGGGCGCTCCGCCGCCCGCCCGCCGCGCCGGTGAGTACCCGCCGCGGTGCCGGGGAGAACCCGCCGCGGTGCCCCCGTGCCCGGCCCGCCGCCAACCGCCCACCGCCTCCTTGCAGGTTTCCTGGACGGCAACACGGACAGCAAAGGTAACGGGACCCCCGGGGACAGTCGGGTTGGGATGGGATGGGAGCCGTGGGCGGCGGGAGGCAGCGCCAGCTCCCGGTGCCGTTAGGGTCCCCAGGCCGGCCGGGACGGGGACGGGGACGGTGCCCGTGCCGCTCTCCTGAGGCTCCCTCTGCCTTCTCCAGTGTTTCTTTTCCAAGTGCCTCCCATCGAAGAGAACTTTGATGACCAGAAGCATTCGCTGAAGCCCTGGGACACCAAGAAGGTGCGTGGCGAGCTATGGGTCAGGGTGCCTGGGGACAGCAGGGGACGCGCGAGGGGCCACCCGGTCCCAAGGACGGGCTCCTCGGGCTCCTTCCTGCCCGTGAACCACCGGCACAGAGGCCCTGGCCGCGCTCACGCCTGCCCTCTGCCTCCCCAGCTCTCGTCGTCCTCGGCCCGTCCGCGCTCCTGCGAAGTCCCCGGCATCCAGTAAGTGGCGGCGGGGCCGGTGCGGGGCCGCCCGCTCCGGGGCTGCCGCCCCGGCTCAGCTCCGCTCTCCGCTTCCCGCCAGCGTGTTCCCGTCCCCGGACCAGCCCGCCAACGTGCCCCTGCTGCCCTCGGCCCTCAACACGGGCGGCTCGCTGCCCGACCTCACCAACCTGCACTTCCCGTCCCCGCTGCCCACCCCGCTGGACCCGGACGAGGGCGCCTACCCCAGCCTCAGCGGGGGCAGCAGCACCAGCAACCTGGCCACCACCATGACGCAGCTGGGCATCAGCGGCAGCATGGGCCTGGGCACGGGCTACGAGTCGCCAGGTGAGGGCTGCCCGCGGCCTCGGGAGCCGCCCCGGGGGGCTCCGTGGCTCGGGGGGCACCGAGGGGCTCCCCGCGGAGCCGCGGCCTCCCCGCGTCCGTGTGTGTCGCCGTCTCCATCGTTGTGGTCTCCGCCGTCACCTTCCATCCCCCCCAGGGCCGCCGGGGAGCCCGGCCGGGGCGCGCGGCCTTGCCGTGCGTAACGCTGCCGTCTCTTCTTGTTTTGTTTTTGTCCCCACAGGACTTACCTCACCTATGCAGAGCTCCCTGAGTAACCCGTCCCTGCCGTCCTCGCTTAGCAACCCCAACCTGCAGGCCTCCCTGCGCAGCCCCCCGCTGCAGCCCTCCCTTAGCCACCCCTCGCTGCAGGCCTCGCACAGCAGCTCCTCCCTGCCCTCGTCGCTCTCCAACCAGTCCCTGCCCTCCTCGCTGTCCTCCTCGCTCAGCAACCCCTCGCTGCCCACGTCCCCGCGCGGCC